CTGGCTTTTATATAGTCGATATTTCCATGCACCCCTGCCCGTTTATAGTATAAAGAAAAATGTATTAAGATACTCTGTGGTAGAAACTGAAGTGCGACAAATTAAGATTGAAAATCAGATGCAGGTTTTATGTACCCTAAAGATGATTAATTAGTGGCATTGCATTCTCCACTGCTGAATTTGTTTTAAACCAAATCTGGGTTAAAAAAAAGAGGCATGCTTTGGTTCAACTAGGAGTTATTTCTAGGAAGTTCTGCAGTGTTATGCAAAAGTACTAAAGGCTAGATCACTGATCAGATTTTGAAAGGCAAATAGCTATGTCAGAAGGTGGAGTCACGCCGTATTTGGAGAGTTATTTTTTAGTGCCAGTGGCTTCTGGCCCACAGAGATGCTGCTTTGTATGCCAGCAGACATATTCAGCAAGGAGTCTTAATGGGGCTGGGCTGCTCCTTAATGAGTTTATAGAATGATTTGGGAACATATTAAAGCTTGAGATGTTTTTGACCACTGAAATTGGGTGGTTGTAGTGTTCTCTAGTTTGTCTTCTGATTAATTAATTGATCCAGGTTTCTTGATAACCAAAGTATGCTTATTACAAAGGCACTGTTCCCACTTGGCAAAACCTGCTATTGGTTCCTGCAAGAGGAAAACTTCTCTGAATTTTTGGAAGCTTGTCAGACCCAAATTTATGAAGTCTGCTATCTTTTAATTATGCCAGCCACAATGAAGAGATTAAAAGGACCTTGTGATAGGATGTAGTAGAAATGGGCTTAGGATATATAGCTAGTACAGAGAACCAGGAGAGTTCCCCCAAAATGTCTTTATTTTGTGGCTCTGTAGACTTCTCTGCTTCCATCTAGTTCTGCTGTTTTTGTGGTGTTCACGCGAAGCTTAGCCAGGCAGGTAGTTTTTGCCAGCCCAATACAATTCTTCACTTGGCAACCCACCAAATTTCTCCACCTTTTCTGTGCCCTCTGTGTCTCAGTTCCTGACAGAGGCAAGTTTGTGAGCAGAGATTAATTAGCATCTTGGAGCTTGCAGCTCTGTTGCAGGGAAACTTGTGTCTGCCAAATATTCTTCTTGCTAGAAACATGCAAAAGAGGACAGATCTGGAAATAAAGAGTTGAGAAAAAAGCTTTGTATGTGAAAGTTAAAAATGTTGTTAAGAAAAATTAACTAAAATCCTGACTAAAATGCTTCCTTTTATCTGTAGAGTAGCCATAGAGTTAGAATTCCTACTTCTGTGTATGTGCTGTGTGGAGAGCTGCCACCATAAACAGAACAGGAGACTCATTGTGGTAGAAATCACTAATAAAGTATGTTTAACAAGATCAGCAGTGACCAAGCAAGTGATGCTGACAATGCCTATACACTAATGATTTCTTACTTTAGGGAAACATCCACAGCCCAAAATTCTTCTCTTGCAGCTCAGCTGTGCAGAGCTGCAGGTAGACCTTGTTCATCACATCAGACTTAAATACCTCTTAATTCCTAACCCCCTGAATTGCAGATTGCTGGATTTTAGATTGAAGGTAAGCCCAGTCAAAAAAATGTTGCTGGTAGTAAGACAGAAATGCTCTGAAAAGCTTTGGTCCTTTGAGAAATGCTCTACTTGTCAAGGAACTCTGCCTGTGATTTTTACATTGCTTTTTCAACTAAGGATACTTTTTTGTTGGCTTGGTGCAGTTGAATATGTATATTTTTATAGCAGCATAAAAATGAACGAACTGTGCTTTGTTGAGAGAACATGTCCAAGCCACCAGACACAATCTGGTAGTGGTGATCTCAATAATCCCTTCTTTTGATTGTTACAGTTCACTATAGCTCAAATTGAAGCCAGCGCACTCTGAAAAAAACACTAAGCATTGAATGAATTAGTCTTGCATCCAGGGTTAAAAACAAATCAACCTGGTGTTATGTTTTCTTTATTGCTTCCCCATTGACTGCAACGATCAGGTTCTGCATATTTGGAGAAGATTAAATGTGTAAGCAGAGATAACATATTTTAATATCTAATTAGGTTAATCAGTTGGTTTGTGAGCATATTTAGCATTTATGAAATATGGAGAACATTAACAAAATCAGAGAAGCTAACTCTCTTTGTGGAGTGGTGATTTTATGAAAAATATGCGTTGACTGGTGGTATGAGCTTGTCTTTCTTGAATTATGTTTGTCCTGATAGCTAAAGGTTGTGTTGGCTTCACCAGTGTCCTTGCCATGAGAGTATTTATTTCAAGTACATGACATGCTGAAGTGCTTACGTATGATACGTGGCTTCCCATCAGGCTGTTTTGGCAAGTTGGAGCAGCCGTAGTTGCAACAGGTGGAAAATTGGTGGTTGTTACTCTACCTCAGCCAGGAGCCACACAGTTTTTGTGGTGCTTGAGAAGTTTCGATCTGATGGGTTTAGAGCGGCTGGCAGAACTGTCCAGCAGGTACCTGTACAGTTGCTTCCTTGTAACCTTGTCTTCAATCCAGTTTGAAGGTTGCGCGCCTGTCCACAGGACTGCTAGCTGGCAGCTGCCCTGGCAAATGAGGCACGTTGCAGCTGAGGCGTAGAGAGGTCTAGGCTTCAGGTTTACTGAACTTGCCACCAGTAAGGGCAGGCACAAAAATTGCCATTTCCTATGCTAAAAAAATTTCCTTAGCATGACTCTGGGCTCCCTCGCATGCCTAGGTAAGTGAGAGAAAATAGTTGCAGGTGGGTTTTGTTGGTTCAGTCAAGGAGGAAGGGATAGGAGCAAAAGAGAAATGTTTGGTTTAGAATAGTTGTAAAACACTCAAATGTTGTGATGAGAAAGTAACATTTTAAGATTGCACAAGTGCTTATTTTTTTCACTCAACATGTAGGAATTTATTAGCCAAAGGCTCATTAGTGTGTGCATGGAATTCCATTTGCTGCGTTAACACACAGGCTCTGTTTAGCTCTTTAAACTTCCTCTTCTCGTTCCCTTGTTAATTCTGCTCTCAGTGCACATACATTCATTCCCTAAATAACACATACAAAGTTTAACATGTGACTTTGGAATAATTAAAGCAGAAGTAGTTATATTAGTGCATTATATGTATATAATATAGCATATTTCACAGTAAAAAGCTAATAAAGTCATACTTCACTATGGTGAATATATACCCTATATATGAAAAGTGCACAGAATTTGAACCCAGGCCTTTTAATGCTTCCGTTGTATTTTAACAACAAAATCGATGTGACATTTGAGTGTAATCTTTGAGAAATTGCAGTGCGTTCTACTATTTGCTTACAAACAAGGTCTTATCCACCAGTCTCCTTAGCTGTATGAGCCAAGCCCCTGCTTATGTCTTGCAATTGTTACCCGAGTCCTTAGCCCAATGGAGAGGCTTTCGGTTATCAATAAAGTGCAGCAATGATACATTTTTCTCTGAATGATTGGTCAAGACTCTGCTCTACATGCATAGAAATTCCGTTCTCAGATGAGCTCTCAAGGCTGATTAAGAAACAAGATAGTAATGAACAATGTTTTACCTTTGATTTTTACTTTCTTTCAATCGTTGTTTTGTTTACAGACCGGCAGTGGCTTATAAATGAGAATAAACGACTGGCTGCACTTCAGCAACAGCAGAGGGAGTTTGCAGTGCAAACAGAGGCTAAGCTGTATGCTGAGGCTGAAGTGCAGAGCACAATTGGGCTGGACATCTGCCCTTCCCTGCTACAGCAGAACAAGAAGAGACTGGTGCAGCTGGAGCTCTTGCGAAGATACTCCTTAAAAAAGGCAGAAAGAAACATAAGACGGAAAAAGGTCAAATTCCAGCTGGAAAGGATAGTCAAGAAGCAGAAGTTACTGGAAGCCAAGCAAAACCTAGAGCAGCTGGAAGCTAGCTGCTGGCTCAGTGAAGAGTGTGTGAAACAATCCCAAGTCCTAAATGATAATACTGCTATACCATGCTCTTCGGATCACCAGTTGCAAAAGAGAAGGAAGTCATTGGGTTCGAGTTCCTTGCAGCACAGGCAGCATTCATTCTGTAATCCACATCTGCCCCAGGTACCCAGGTAAGTTAACATCTGCCAATTCCTCTGCACTTTAAAAAGTAATTTAAATTCAAGGTATTTTCAGTGGCCACCTGTAATCCAGAATGCCTTTCAATGTATTGAAACAATCCCAAAGCTGGCAATATCAGTGAACTTACTATACTGTATGTCACACTAGAGCTGTTTGTCCTTTCTGCTCGCATCTGTACAGTGCATTCCCTGCTGAGCATTTTGATATGGTCTTTCTCACTTTTTTACATTGTTTTCCCAAGTCTTTCTGCACCTTTTTTATCTATGTGAATGCTTTCCAGAACAGGCGTAACTCTTGTTCTTACCTTGTTCAAACTGTTGGTAAATACTAATTTCTGCATCATTTTATCTTGATTAGGGTCAAACTCTTCCTTCAGAATATTTGCATCATTGGAATGATTCTGGATTGGACTTTTAAGTAGGTTGGTCTTTCTCAACCTAAATAAACATCTCTACGCAATGCTAAAAAGTTGGGGTGCTAGGGTGTCTATCACAGCATGGTCCTGGAGGCATGAAATAGCTAAATTCTGCCAAGTGGATTTCTGTGACTTAGACCCATTCTTTATTTTTAACAAATGTTTGCAGCTACTTGAGCCTACAGACCCTAAATACCAAGCTATACCACATAGCATCGAGCTATTCCTTTGCGTTGCAGAACATATTTCAGGATATCTAGAGGAGCGTACAGTTACTGACAGATTTTTTTATTATTATTTTTTTATTCTCTGCTAGAATTTGCTTTTGAAAGGCATTAAGATTGTTGCTTCATGTATTGTTACTCTTAACTACAAGACATTACTGATGTGGAAGCCCTGTAAAGTATATTATTCAAGCAAGGATTGGACTTTATTTCTTCTTTATTTCCACAGCTGTTTGTTGAAGAGGGAGACTGTCTCAAAGTTATCTACCTCACCAAATATTGATCAATGCTGTGAAGGCAGTACCACGGGGAGGTTGTCATCTTTAGAATATCTTTACAGAAGAGCTAAAGGTGTTTCTGTGAGTAATGACCTTAATGATGAAAAAGGGATCTCCTTTTCAATCCAGAGGCAGCTAACTGAAAAACAAAAACCACCTTCATTTGGAAATAAAAAAGGAGCAGAACAAGACTCTAATTATTCAGCTATCATGGCTTATAGCAACAAAAATGATCAAAAAATTGAAAAGTTGGATGACAACCCAGGGCGAGCTGGATCTCAAAACCAGACCTCTAAAGGCTCTTTTCCTGATCTTTTTAAGGAGAAAGATGAGCCTGAAACCTTTATTACAGGGACGAGAATGACAAAAGCAAAAGTGCTAGGAGATTTAAGTCAGCCTGCAAGTAGCAATCTAGAACAAAATAAAGTTCAGGTATCCAATAAAAAGACTAGAATAGATATCAATGGAGAAGGCCACAGGTCTTCTCCAGAAAACTTTCCTAAAGAAATTAAGAAAACAGCGTATGGAAACCCACCATCATCGCATCTAAACCAAACAGCCAAGAACTGGAAGAGAGAGACAAACTCAGCCTTGCCAAGTCATGAGAAATCATCAGTGGAACAGCAAGAATTTCTGATGGTGGCAGCATCAGTGGGAAATCTCACTAAGATGAACACACAGGCACCACTCTCTTACGTTGGAAAAAAGTGGCACAGTGCTGAGATGCTAAGTGCTGGAGTGTCCAAAACAGCCACAGATGTGCTAGGGAACTGGCAAGAGGATGATGAAAATGAGATTTCTGATACTGACAGTTCCTATTCTGTAGATTCTCTGTCTTGTGCTTATGCAAAAGCTTTCACAGAGAAACTGAAACAAGAAGATTTTGACAGAAATAAATTTCTTGCAAACCCAGAAGACTCTGAGAGTGACGACAGTCAAATGTCACAAGACTCTCTAGTAGAAAAGGAAATTAAAGCCAAAAGGGAAAATAAAAGCCGATTTCACAAGTCAAAGGCCCACCATGAGCCAGATAAACTTTACAAAAGCAAAACTGATCACCATATTTCATCTTTGGTGACATCATACGCATCTTGTAGGAGACTGGGAAAGCCTGAAAGAAGCTTTTCTCTAGACAGCTTAGGTGATGGAGAAGAGATGCCAACAGAAGATCCAGTAGAAGAATCCAAATCTGATTCATCTGACGAAGTGCCAGCAGAGATTTTTTGGAAGTTACAAACTCCTAGATCACGAGCTTTACAGACTGAGGAAGACCCTAAGTCCAAGACCTGTGACAGAGATACAGAAGAGGCAAATTATGATCTGAAGTTGAGCAGTTCCTTTTATTTGGATGCTAAACCACAGCCTGCTTCCAGTGATGCTTGCAAGCAGTTGCTGAAGAGGACAAAAGTCTCCTTTGTAGAACAAGAAAGGCCTCTTGATAGAAGATTGTATGACACAAGTGGCAATCCTTTGCTTACTACTGATGCTTGGTCTTCCTGTGACTCAAAGGTTGACATCAGCAGCCCCAGAATAACAGTGCCTTCTTCACATGAAAATTTGGAATTTCGAGAAGCTCATCTGTGCTCTTTGAGCAAACCAGAGCTTTGGCTGAAGAAAGATGATCTAAAGCAGTCAGCTGCTGAAGTTTCTTTTGTTTCTGGCTCTAAGCAGATACACAGCATTACTCGTTTATCACATCGTATGAACGAAATAAACACAGTTTTCTTTTCTGACACATCAGAAGTACCTTTACCTGAAACAACAACAACTGCAAGCAGAGTTTCTGGGAGTGGATCATTAAATAAGATTCTTAAGGGATGGACAAACTCTAATGAAAATTCTTCCTTGGAATCTCAGGACATGATGTCTTCATTTGTTAGCTCAATTGGACCAAGCTCCTCTTCTGTTCCTGTTTCAGCAAAGCATGATTATTATGAACATTCAAGGTCAAATAATCCTGAACAACTGAATGAGTTATCTACTTATAGGTCTACCACTGAATGCACACAAAGATTCAGCTGTTTGGAAAGCACCTCCACCACAGACTGTTTGTCGCTGGTATCTAGGAAAAAGGAGGATTCTTTGCCCACAACTCATCCAGAGCTGCCAAAAGATCACAATCTAAAAAACCCTTTTATTTCTGTGTTGCCTGTGCACATTTTGAAGCAGATGAATGGCTGTGTAGATGAAGATTTAGAAGGTGATTTCTTCAGAACTTTTGAAAAAGATGACCTTGATGATGACTACAACTTTATGACAAAATCAAGTATGACAGATTCGGGCAGTGGAAGTGCATCTGTCAGCACACCTGCTGCTGAATCTTCTATAGGACTTGCTCATAATGTGACCTCAGCACAGACATCTGTAGTAAAACAAGTTCAATCTGGAAACCATGGGCAGCTTTTTCCAAGAAGGGAAATACCAACATGTTGTGATGCAGGTTTCTTTCTCAGTGATTTAAGAAATAAGAACTGCTCTCCAATGAGCAGTTACGAGCTTCAGACATTGGCTGGAGAAGGAGCAGAATCAGCTGTTACAGTAGGTCTCCTCAGATCTGGGGAGAGTAATTTGGAAACAATGCAAGAAATGGATTATGAACAAATATCTGCAGAAGAAATAGCAACAGAGACAGATTTCTCCTCACAGAAGACACTATATCGATGTGACCCTTTAGTTGTTGCTCACAGTGCAAGTTATGACCAATCTGCAACACCAATAGAGATATCTCAAAAAGAGATTACCTGTATTGGAACAAGCATGGATAGCTTGGCAGAGATTGCGCCAGAGGTGCCTTCATTCAGAAATAATGAAGAATATGAACCAAAGGATGAAGACTTGTCCTCACTGAATCATTATGAATTCAAAAGCAAACCTGTTTCAAAAAATTGTTCCTATGAATGTGCTCAAGCAGACAGTTGGGCAAGTTGCTTATCCCAAGAAATTTCAGAAAATTCTGCATTATGCATTGATAATATAAGAGAAGAAAGCAGTGAAAGCAAACACAATGTGTTGAATTCTCAGGCTGTAGTTCAGAAAGAGTTTTCACCCAAATATGAAAACCTAGTGGTAAATGAAGTAAGTTATCTCATAGTGAATGTAAATGGGAAAGACACAGAGTCCTTCCCTGCTGCTATTTGTGAAAATACAAATGGTTTTCTCCCAGAATCCAATTCAAGTATATTTTACAAAGCTTCAACAAAAGCTGATCTTTTTCAAAGTGCATCTGAGACTGAAAATTATGATAAACTATTGGAGCATGTCACAATAGTGAAAGGAGATTGCAATGCTACATCTAATCTTACTGTGGAAGTCAATACCACAGAAGGTTGTTCCGATGTATATGCTGGCTGCCTTTGCACAACATGCTCTTCAGAATCAACAGGGCAGAAAAACAGTAGGCATAAGATGACTGACATTTCTGTAGAGTTTGATGCAGCCATTCACTTGGAAACAGAAACACAGAACAAATCATTACTTGAACCAAGAGAAGAGAAAGAAGCTTTTTCTGAAAGTGATTGCCCAGAGGATATCTTGCTTGTTGAAGATGATGTAAACTCAGAATCAGGAAGAGTATTTGAATACAGCACAAATACATCAGCTACTGTTTCTGAAGAGGAGAGTCCGTATATAAATAAAGAATCCAAGTTCTTGAGAAACCCAGAAACTGATGCAGAAGAGCCTATGGTTCCTTATCAGAACACAAATACAAACACTGATGAAGAAATTACAAAATTAATCAATAGTGCAATCAACTTTGAAAAATATGCTTTGGAAATCACATCCAGGCAGATTGAAATTTTACCTGACTACCCAGTAGCCAACATCCAAAGTGTAACTGAAGATGGGAGCGGAGAGGATTTTAAAGACGTTAGTGTATCTCAGAATCCAAAGAAACCTCTTGACACTGTAGCTTGTGAAGTTCAGTGTGAATTTTATACAGATCTGTGCCTGACACATGAAGGGACGGAGATGGATGAACTACAGGTAGCCAGCACTGGGGTAGAGCACACTCAGGAATCAAAAGCACTCGTGCATTCTGGCAGCCGACTTGAAACAAGCAGCTTTTGCCAAAAAGAAAAAAGCGAGAAAATAGAAATAGGTATTTATTCACCAGAGTTTTCTGTTGCTCCCAAATCCACTCCTTCAGCTGTGTGTTCTCACACAACAGATATTACCCAGAATATTTCAGGCTTCCTTGGTACTTGCGAGGGGCTTTTACAGATGAACAGGACAATAGAAAATGTGTTTAACACAGAGGAGGTAGCTGCAACAGTACTAATCACAAGTAGGCAAGGAAATATTTTAGCAAAACCTGAAAATGAAGGAGAAGTAAATTCTAGCAATTTAATTGAACAGTGTGTACCAAACTGTTTGCCCCAGGAAGACAAGGTTAATGAATGTGAAGTGACTCGGACCGAAGAACAAATTATCATGACAAACACTGTGGGGCTGATAATTACAAGGCAAGAAGACATACACACAGATGAAAATCTTTCATTTACTGAAGGGTCTCCAGCTTTACATCAGATGTATTGTGACAGAGATGACAAAGAGGAAATTTTAAATCAATTTCAGATCCCTGAAAAATACCTGACAGCTTCACGACTAGAACAGAATATACTGTTAGAAGATGACTCAAGATGCCATGATCCTACTGAACCGAGTGAAGACAGTGGCTCAGTAGACTCTGTTACAGATACAAGAAATGCAGTCATGAAAGATATCGATACATATGAATATCAAGTTGATGATAGTACTGGTATTGACCAATATAGAATTGAACAAGAATTTAAAAGTCTCCACATTAAAGAGGACAGCCATACGTATATGAGTTGCTCTATGCGATATCCTGAGCATGGCACTTCAGAAAACTTGAACACAGGTATCGTTAGAAAAGGACCTGATATTTGTGAATTGGATCCAGTAGGCTCCAGAGTTGAGGAGGAGAAAGTGCATTTGATGAATCTAGTACAAATGGCCAAAACAGACAAAGAAAAGCAGATGTTTGTAGAAAACACAGAGGAGGTAGAACTGATTGTTTTACAAGACCTGAGTGGACTATTCCCTGAAAACAAAGACAGCTGCCAAATGACACATGATGACAGCAGATTAAATGAAATCTTAAGAGAAAGCCAGTGGGTGTCTACCAGCTTTTCTAGAAATAATGAAGATATCAGCAAGCAACAAAATCCACCAAGAACACAGAAGTCTACTGAACAAAACCAAGAAGGTTCACTTAAAGACTCCCCATGCCAGTCTGTAAACCACCTTTTATATCTTGGAGTGAGTAATGATTCCCATCTTATTCAACATGTTCCCACTGCATTGACAGAACATACAAAACCACCTAACAGCAGTGTTGGAACTGGAGCTGTTCTGCCTTACTACGAAACATTAATGGAGAGTGAGGTCTGTGTTGGTACGCCTGTTGCGGCCAATAAAATCGGAGAAGATGAATATCTTTCTGATAAAACGCAAAGCAGGAGTGTAGCTTTTCTGCAAACCAGGACCACACAGTACAGGGAGGAGGAAGAATCTATTGCATTTAACAATGCACCTGACTATGCCGTATCTGGGCAACCTGTCAATGAGAACAGCTCATCCGCTCCCTACAGTGCAGGTGGTCCTGAGTCAGAAACTCTTGTACTTCAGCAAGGAGCCAAAGGAAACTCATTTTCCTCAGAAAAAACAGATTCTTCTGAAGATATAATTCAGGATGTTCATGAAGAACACAGTGTGCATTTAATGGTTAATAAACTACCAAAAGACTGCCTTAATTCCATAGAAGATACAGCTCAAGTGGAAAAGGGTACAATTGTGCCTGATGCACGGCTCTTGGATAATTCAAACCTGCTTTCTTCTTTAGAGAAAGAAGTGATGGAAGATATGGGGGAAGGGGAAATACATTCTTTACTCGAAATCTCTTCGCAAAAAATGTTTCACAATATTAACACAACTCAGAAAGTACTTCACTCAGGGAGTTCACCACAGCATGATGAGAAGGAGAAATTTGTAAGCACAAGCTATACTACAACAAACAGTAAAAATGCAAATGCAGAGTTCCCTGGTGTAGCTGGATATCGGCATAAGCCCAGAGAAAATCAGGGACACAGGACTTCTGAAGGGTGCCGCATAGACCAACCAGGCAGCACTGCTCCTGAGAACACTTCAGCCCTTTCAGAAGGCCTGAACAAGTCTCCATGGGAAAATCCACATTATAGTAAAGAGTTTCTAAATTATAATAGGAACTTCAGCACTTCTGAATGTTCTCCTGGTCTCCTGAATTGTCCAGCATCATTTGCAGATGTTTTGATTGCCAGCAGTGAAGACAAAGGTAAAAATGATGCTGTTGTCTCAGAAGAAACAAAGTACTTTGAAAGTGAATCAACTGATTTAAGTGTACCTGTAACTTTTCCTGATGTTTCTCAAAAAGGAGATGACAGGAAAAATAATTCTGCAGTTGCAGAGACCACACATGCTCAGAATAATAAACTCCCTGAAAAAGTTGTGAGAACAGATCAAAAAGGGAAAATAATTCAACGTTCTTTCCAGAACTGCAATGACATGAAAGAAAAGAAAATTCAGGAGTACCCAGCACACAACAGTAATACTTCTAGTGTGACTGTACCAGCACTGGACTTGCTTACTTTTCAGAGCCGAGGAGAGACTAGCAGTAACAAATCAAAGTCTCTTCCATCCTGCTTTGCAGAAGATACTCCAACTGATACACCATTTCAAAGCTCCAAGAATTTTAGTGCTTTTGACACTTCTTGTTTACTTGATGATTCAAAATCTCTAATATTTCGTCAGCTTGAGGACTCACTTCAAGACACTTTTTTGACTGAGCAAGTATCCTCCAGTTCTGCAAATGTGTGTTCTGTAGAAGAAGATATCCCCCAAGCATTTGCAATTGTCAATCACATATCCTTAACACCATTTTCAGAATCTTCTTTAACTGCAGATATAGGCCATGGTGAAACTGACACACATGATATTTCACATACAAGTATATTGAAACATTCTCCATTTGCTGTTTTGCAAATACAAGACACTCAGTCTGATAAGGCTGTGGTATTCGATGAGCCGGTACGTGTTTCAGGAAGTATTTTACTTTCTCTTGCAAAAGAAAACAGGCATTGTCCAGTGTCGGACAGAGACTCTACTTCATATAAAAATTCTGCTGTAGATGAGGAACCTGTGTATGGAAGTCATTGTAAAAAATTCAACAATGATATAAAAGTTGATCAGCACCACTGTGGTAAAGTTCCACCGCAAGAAGCTTGCACAGAACACATCAAGAAAGTACTAGGTGATGATGAGTCTCTTTTATTACCGTCGTTACCATTTTGGGATACTGGAAGGGCAATCGCTGTTCAAGAGGGACAAATGAGAAAAATACTTAACAGAAATGAGGAAGAACTGCATTCAAATACTGACACAGAACATTTTGCAGTTCCAGAGCAGAGAAAAACATCAAGTAGAGAACCTGTTGAAAAGCAAACTAATGTATCCTCAAATTCTGCAAATGGATTAATAGGCCCAGAAAATCTGTATCCAGGAAATGTCGATGTGGCTCCTGAATACACCTGCAATTCGTTTAGTCCAACATATCCCACATACAGCACAAGCACTGATCCCAGACGGCTGTATCGCACTGTCCTGGGTTTTGAAAAAAACCCTGGAGATCTGCAAGACAGTTGTCAGTATGTGCCTACAGGTGAACAGGCAGAACAGGTGCCAGATAGAATAAATACAGATGGCAGAAAAGAGATTTTAATTTGTAAAATTAATACAGGTCCAAGTGTTGATAGCCCAGCTGATGATGATGATGCAGACAATTGTCCAACAATGGGAGATGCTATAATGAGGAATAAGACTCAGAAATCAGAAAGACTGAAGTTTGCTGTAATGAATAATGAAAGTACTTTTGTAAAGTTTTTACCAGAAAACTATGATTTGCCTCCTCAAGAATCCAAACTGGTGCAATTTGGGAGCAAAAGATCATATTCTACTACACGGAATACAAAGAGCTGTAAACCAAGTGAACAGAGATCTTATTTACAAAGTCACAGACTGTCAGCCCCAGCTATTGCAGTGTTCTCTGATCTAGAATATACTTCAGAAACTTCATCTAAGGCCGATCATTTGTTATATTCTGCATCTAAATCACTACAAGATTTAAATATGAGTGTAGAGCCTCCATCACCAACTGAAGATGAGCTTCATGGAATTGGAAGATTTTCAACGCAGGAATCAAAGAACTTTCTACAGGTTAAGTCTAAACCTAGACTTCAGCAAAGAATGGCACAAACTAAGCAGCTTGCCAACTGTGATCTGAAAAATTTACAGAATTGTTCAGCAAGAACCCAAAGCATCCAGTCTTTAAAAGACCGTACTACTCATTCTCCGTCATCCTTACTGCACACAGTGCACAGTTCTGTGGGTGCAGAAGCAAATATCCATTCAAAGAGTAGTTCTGTAGCTCAGTGTAGTGAAGGGAAAGCTGAGGAAGCTGGATACCAGCCAGAAACAGATTTATTTTTGCAAGACAATAAAGATGCAATGCATTTTAGTTCAAGTGATATCAACCCATACATACATCCATGGCAACAAGACGCATCCTGCAAGATTGGCTGGAAACAATATGTTTTTGGGAGTGCAAGTGATGTGTCTTCCAATCAAATTCCTTTAAACGTGGAAAATCGTAAAGTTATGAGATGTTCCAGTGTAGACAATGGATTGAATTCGCAAAATTCTCCTTTTCATTCTCATCTCAGTTCATATGCTACAGCAAAAGTTTTATCAAGCACTTTAAGCAGCATTGAAGGTCTGCAAGGATGGGACAATGTCAGACGAGATTTTCAATCTGCATACTCAAGTGACAGTACTAAGCAGTATAGCAATGTATCCAGTGAAACATTGGAAACCAATCCAGAAAATAACACTGCTGAATTTGAGAATCCTTCTGCACAGCCTGGTAACCCTTCAATGCAGGTTGATGAAATTGTACTGTTGTATCCTTCTGAGTCTGAAAGGTCTGCCAAAAAACTGACAGGGATTACATGTGAGCAGGGAACACAGACAGCAACTACAGGAAGGTATAAAAGGCAGAGAAGACATCAGAGAAGCTATACAGATGTTTCTGCAAGAAAGCAGGAAACAAACAGAGATTTATTTCATCAACCTTCTTCTTGGACAAGCATGCAGAACCTGTCCATGCATCTGTCACAGCTTCTTCAGAACACCTCTGAGCTGTTGGGAAACCTCTCCCAACAGAGTATTATAGATAATGAGCAGAGTGCCAAAATCAACCAAAGAGGAACTGAAGAGGCTGTAAAGGCTACTAGGTCAGATAGCTGCACTCAGACTACAGCAGATGTAGGCACTCAAACTGAGATTTTGGAAGAATCTCAAAGCAAACATGAAGAAAAACAAGTGGAGGCAAAAATGGAAAATGAATTGAGGGCAGCTCCAGCAGTAAATGTTGATTGGAAAGGAATAGGTGCAGATGCGGTAGGTAAGATTCCCAAAAGGAAAGAGGAAACACTCTCTCCTGAAGAAAGAACACAAGAACGAACAGGGATGAGACATCTGGGCAATCCTGACTTCCGTGACAGTCTTGACAGCATTTTGGAAGACTCCTTTATGTGTCTGCCTCTCTTACCCAGAACCTCCACTCCTATCTTTGATTTTCAAAAAACATCATTAAATGCACAGCAGAATGTTGCTTTTGCTAGTACCAGAGTTTCATCTGTCACGTCATCTTCACTGAGTTTAGGGCAAGATGGTTCTTCATGCACTGTAGTTAGCAGCCCTACCAATAGCACCTTTCAATCTCCAGCGTCTTACGCTCAGGATAAAAGATGCGTCAATGAACTAGAGGTTCCAGCAGAAAGAAAATTTAGTTACAAAAACAGCCTGCTAGTTGATAGGGCCTCTTCCCCTATTCTTACTCTTAGTGCTAGTCGCAGCAGCCAGACCACTTTTAGCAAGTCTGTCTGCCCCATTAAGGAACCTCTTGGATATTCCGCTGATGCTCCAATTCCTCTTCACAACCAGAGAAAGCAGAGGGCCAGTCCGCGGTCCAGCATACAACCTCATGTGGACAATTTTTCACAGACAGAAACAGACAGCGAATCGAGCACTTCTAGAGACAACAAGGGTGTAAGAAAGACATCTGGAAGTTTCTCAGATAAGAAAGCAGCCAAACAGTTTTTAGGACAGGATGGTTCAAAAGACTTGGAACAGCAGCCGAGACTCACGGTTGACACCCACACCACCATTTGTGCAAAACGACTGTATCACTCCAGTAGTATGTTGGAGATGTCGGGCCACAGGGAAATTTTGACAGGTGATCTCAGAGACCACAGTCCACTGGCACATTCGCTTCGTTGTATGTATGTCACGAGGGGAGGAAGAGGTTCTTCAGCTGGAATCGGACATGAAAAATATGTTGGTAATTCTGATACTGCTTTAATTCATAACTACTCACCTCCAGATGCTGACATACTTTTTAATCAAAAAATTAGTGCCACTTGTTCAAGAAAGACAAATGCTGGCGCGTCTTCAGAACCTCTGGGAGAAGCATCTTCTCTACAATTTCACGATTTCTGGAAAAGTGAAAACGGCTGCCCTCCCCCGCTCTCTGATGTGAGTGATGTGCAGACTTCCTTCCAAGTTGACAATACAGATTCTGTCACTGAAAGTGAATGTGACACCGAAATTGCTCTCAACAAAAGCACTACTTTTGCAAAGCCTTACAGGCCTCGGAGCTACAGTCTCCGTGACTTACCCATACACAATAAATTTAGCAACTGGTGTGGTGTTAAGGGCAGCCCTCCTCCTTCGTTACTCAGCTTGAGTGGCAGTGTGACCGATTTACGAAGTCAGGCAGAAAGGAAGCTGAGAAGCACGCGAGCAACAGAAACAGAAGGGAAATCTCAGCTTTGTGACAGCAGGAGCAGAGAGATCGAGAGGCTTCAGAGAGAGCGCGCTCAGATCATGTCTGGCGTTCACCTGGATCTGCACCAGCATCCCCTCACCGTGGAACTGACCGAAGCAAAGCTCAGTTACGGCATCGGGGAAACGGACGCCCTGCTGAGGGTCCTGCAGAGTGGAACTGCAGATGACCTGGTGGCGCTTCCAGTAAAGCAGCAACTTTATGAAAGGTAAATTACTTAAAGTAGTGTTGTATTCAGTATTTTGAATACACCTCATGTATGCTTCATGCAGCATAAATGTCATTTAGTAATGAGCACTTAATCACTTAGTCACATTGAGAGAACTGTACGTGAAGAAACATAGTGTTAAGCTTATTTTATATACAGTTAAGTAATGCATTCAAGACAAAATTTTGAGGTTACTTCAAGAAAATATGGAAAAGTATAAGATGCGGTGTAATTCAAATCTAGTGTCACCCCACTCTTAACATTTCTAGCAGCTATGACAGTGATCGCATGTACCTGGTAATCATGGGACTATATTTCATTGATTTATTGCAATGTAAAAATAACCAGTACATCTTATTTATGGGAATATCTCATTCATGCTTCTGTTAATAAATGCTGCTGTATGAATATGCAAAAAACCAAATTTTAAAACCCCTTAAATATGCAAAATAAATTACGAAAAAGCCAAGATATAGAACTCAGTTTAGGAAGCTGTTGTAACTAAAAAAATTAAGGAGTAGCTACATTAGTCTCTGTCCTCGATTTGCCTCTCGGCCATTACAAGCAGTAACCAAGACCCTCTTCTGCATTTCTTACTGTTAGGAAAGCAGTGGAGTTTTAGAATTTCTGCATCATCTGTCAGCATGTGGCCAAAGGAGTATTTGCAAGGGAAGTGTATGGTATTAGATTCCTGTACATTTTACATTACAAAGCTACCTAACATTTGAGTGTTTTAAAAAATGAGAAAATGTAACTGCAGGGTGCATTTTGTTGCTCTGATCATGTTTCCCTGACAGACACATGAGGACTATTGAAACTCTGAGGAAGGAAAGAGAAAAAAGGCTGCAAAGATACCAAAGAAGCCGAAGTCTGAGTCCTCAAAAGCATCTGAGTCTGTTGCAGACACTGGACACAAGTCAGAGGGATCCAGATCTCCCCAGCAGACGTCGAGAATATCTGCAACAACTGAGAAGAGATGTGGGGGAAAAAA